TAGAGGACACTCAGAGAGCAAGAATCAGCCCTCGGGGCAGGGATTTGCATTCCTCCCCCAGGGCCTCAGTTAAGGCAGCCAGGGGCCTGGTGTCTTGGAGCTTGGAGCCCGAGGCAGAACACTGGAAGGCCCAGCTCGTCAATGCTGCTGCCGTGAGGGAAGGTCCCTCCTGCCAGATGAAGTCTTTTGCCCGATGGGATTGATTTTCCATTGACTGCAGTCAAGTGTCACAGGATAGAGCTGACTGATTTTTCTTGTCTTTTTCAGGCTCAGCACAAACACTGGGAACTGGCTGGAACCAAATTGGGAGATATAATGGGCGTCAAAAAAGAGGAAGAGCCGGATAAAGCTCTGACCGAAGATGGTAAAGTGGACTATAGGTAGGAGTCTTGCCAGCACTTGTGCTGAAATTGCCCGAGGTTGTTCTGTACAAGGTAATGACTTGTGGATTTCAGCTCCTCTTCTGGCTGAACTCTTTCAGGGCAGAGGATTTGCCCATTTGCTAATCTAACTCCTCTGAGCTGTATGCAGCTGTCTGGGGGTGATGAGTAGGTTGTGGATGACGGATTCTCTGACAGCAGTCTGGTCCCTTAGGCCAGAAAAGATGAGCAGCACCTCAGATTGCCTGGCAGCTCTTGCATCTCAAAGATGTATTGCATATTTGAAGCAGTTCTCACTTTTGGGTGTCAGAAGAAAGGCAGTATCCCAGTCAGGAAGGAAGATGCAGGAAACTGCGCAGGATGCTGAGAGGCTGCTGTGTGTTCTCAGGACAGAACAGAAGTTTGCAGACCACATGAAGAAAAAGAGTGAAGCCAGCAGTGAATTTGCAAAGAAGAAGTCGATTCTGGAGCAGAGGCAGTACCTGCCGATCTTTGCGGTGCAGCAGGAGCTGCTCACGATCATCAGGTGACTCCGTCCGCCCTGGGCCGGGATTCCAGTGTTGAGTTGGGGGTCCTGTGTGTCCTTTCTCCTGTGTGCACGCTGTAGCTCCTTTTCTTTTGGGCATTATATCTGATGGAGCAGGGGAAGGATTTTTTCCCTGACCTGGGTGCCCTGGGCTACTCTGCATGAAGTAAGCAAGACGGCATTGTTTCGTTTTAGCTCACTTGTTTAAACCTTACTGTCTTCTAGACTTTTCCAGGGTGTTTCAGTGTAAGACTGTTTTCCCAGGGAAACCCTCCTCTCTAAGCAAGCAGGCTCCTTGGATAGCTAGAGGTGGGGATAGGAGGTGGCCTCCCACTTGGGCTGATTCACCCGTTGTCTTCTCTCTCTTGCAGAGATAACAGCATCGTGATCGTGGTTGGGGAGACAGGGAGTGGTAAGACCACTCAGCTGACCCAGTACTTGCATGAAGATGGTTACACGGACTATGGGATGATTGGGTGCACCCAGCCCCGCCGTGTGGCTGCCATGTCAGTAGCCAAGAGAGTCAGTGAAGAGATGGGGGGAAACCTTGGCGAGGAGGTGAGTGGGCAGGAGGGCCGAGCTTTGTAGTTACTACCCGGTGGCTTCCTTTATCTGAGCTGATCTGTTGAGACTTGGGCCCAGCTCGGGGTGTGCTGGTGGTGAGCTGGTGTCCAGAGCTTCTGAGCCTTTTCCCTGGCCTCCAGGTGGGTTATGCCATCCGCTTCGAAGACTGTACCTCAGAAAACACCTTGATCAAGTACATGACTGACGGGATCCTGCTGCGAGAGTCCCTCCGGGAGGCGGACCTGGATCACTACAGTGCCATCATCATGGACGAGGCCCATGAGCGCTCCCTCAACACTGACGTGCTCTTTGGGCTGCTTCGGGAGGTGAGGGCTGTGGGTCCACCCCTCTGTGCCTGTGGGGCTTGGACCAGTGCGCTGCTTGGAGGCTCTCTGGGCACACTGGGGTCTAGCCTGGAGAAGCCGAGGGGGACTCTGACCTGCCAGAGCTTCCTCTGAGGCCCCTGGCTGTGGGGTTCAGACCCAGTGTTTTGCGCTTTACTCTGTTCCTGCTCAGCTCAGTGACTCATGGTTCTCCTGGCTGCGGCTCTGTGGATTCAGTCTACAGAGTTGTTACGAATCTAATGATCCAGTTTGTCAGCTTTTGCTTCTGTTTCATTTGGAAGTGACGCTGATGAGACTAGAGGGCGGAAGTCATGGGTCCCAAGCCTATGGGGAAACCTCTTACCGACCTCTTCTCTTAGGTGGTGGCTCGGCGCTCAGACCTAAAGCTCATTGTCACATCGGCCACTATGGATGCAGAAAAATTTGCTTCCTTTTTTGGGAATGTCCCCATCTTCCATATCCCTGGTCGTACCTTCCCTGTTGACATCCTCTTCAGCAAGGTACTGAGGCCCTTCTTTTGAACCTGACCCTGACCTCTGATGAGGAGCCAGTTTGGGGCTGTGGGGTGGGGTACTGAGTTGGAAAAGGTTTTGTGGTAATGGTGGGAACCTGCAGCTCCAGTGCTCAGGGGGGAAGGACTACTTCTGGGGAGGTTTTGTTTTATTGTTTCTTTGGAGCGGAAGTGTGGGGCCCAGGGAGGGCAGTCAGGCCCATTTATAGGTGCAGCAGTCTGAGTTCGCCGGCGCTAGTCCCAGAGCAGGGGCTGGGCTGCAGGTTCACAGAGGGGTGCCTGGCCTGCCTTCGCCTCGACACTCTCTTCTGATGGTGTTCCTGGCTGGTTTGCAGACCCCGCAGGAGGATTATGTGGAGGCCGCAGTGAAGCAGTCCCTGCAGGTGCACCTTTCAGGGGCCCCCGGGGACATCCTTATCTTCATGCCTGGCCAAGAGGACATTGAGGTGCGTGTCTCGGTCACGACTGTGAAGAATGGGTGTATCCTTTGTGTGAGAGTTAGGGGCCGTGCTGTCTCACGGCTCCTCTCTGTGCCCTCAGGTGACCTCAGACCAAATCGTGGAGCATCTGGAAGAACTGGAGAACGCGCCCGCCCTGGCCGTGCTGCCTATCTACTCTCAGCTGCCTTCTGACCTCCAGGCCAAAATCTTTCAGAAGGTGCGACAGCAAGAATGTCTGTTTTGGGCCCCTGCTCTGGGATCCCCCTGAATTCCCCCAAAGGAGGGCAAGAGAAGGGAGGGTGTTACTTTTCCACAGGAGTGGGGTGTGTTCTTCTCCCTGTGGGGGTCTTTCCTTTACCCAAGGGCCTACAGCCTTCCCTCCCTGCACATCCTGTCTGGCTCCAGGCTCCAGATGGTGTTCGGAAGTGTATCGTTGCCACCAACATTGCTGAGACATCTCTGACTGTTGACGGCATCATGTTTGTTATCGACTCTGGTTATTGTAAACTAAAGGTAAGAAGAGGTACAGGCACTGGGGCTCTGGGCCTTCACCCAGAGGTAGCTCATCCAAGGGGGTGGGAAGGCAGGCCCTGGGTCCTTGGCCCTTGAATGAGCATTGCTTATGGAAGTGATGGGATGTTTCAGAGCCTAATGTTTATTGAGTGCTGACTTTGCCATGAGCTTGATTCATTTAATCCTTGTGATAACTTGAGGTAGACAGTTTAAATAATGCAATAGAGGTCATGGAGCTGGTGTTCACAGGGAAATTTCTTGTGGTTCCTGGTTCCAAAAGATGGCTGCTTGCATTGTTAAGACACTTCCCTTTGTAATGTGTAGCAACCAGGGTTTGTCTCTGTCTCAAGGCTGCTTCCCTTTCTCCCCTCAGTCCTTAATCAGGTGCTTGTTGCTGCCTCCTAGGTCTTCAACCCCAGGATTGGCATGGATGCTCTGCAGATCTACCCTATCAGCCAGGCCAACGCTAACCAGAGGTCAGGGCGAGCCGGCAGGACGGGCCCAGGTCAGTGTTTCAGGTAGGAGCCCTGTGCTAGCCTGCTTTCCAGGGTGGAGCCCAGGCTGGGGCAGACAGGTTTGGAGTATGATCCAGCAGAGGGATGCTGCCCCTAGCGCTGGTCCTGAGGCTGGCAGCCAACAGCGGGGCTGCCACTTGTTAGTCCTCTCATCACATGCTGCTGAGTGGAAGAAGTCACCTTTCCAGGCAGCCCTGAGGTCTGAGCCACCTGAGCCACCTTTGCAGCCCCCGTGTTGAATGTACCTGCAGCGGAAGACCGGTAATTACAGTATGCCTCCTCTCAGGATGAATTTGAACAAATCATACCGTTGTTCTTTTTTACCTCTCCCTCCAATTATTATCTCTCGTTTTTGTTCTGATTTTTAAAAATAATATATTCACTATAGATATTCAGAAAATACAGAAAAATATGAAGAAACAAACCCCAGCCATAATTCTAGTCCCAGGCTCACTGGTTCCAGAAATGAAGCTGTTACGTAGGAGACCAGCAGAAGGGTGAACTGGCAGAACTGTTTTGAATAGGTGGAAATTCGTGATTCGAAGGGAGAGGTGGGGGGAGAAATGAAGACTTCTCCTTACCTGTGGCTTTTACCTGCACTGGCTGTTCTGGGTGCACGTGCCCAGCGCTGGTTCCCGTGCAGGCAGCTGGGTGTGTTCAGGGCGCTCAGCCAGGCAGCACGGTGGAAGGTGCGGCAGGACTGGGTCTTCTCCCCGGCAGGCTCTACACTCAGAGTGCCTACAAGAACGAGCTCCTGACCACCACGGTGCCTGAGATCCAGCGGACCAACCTGGCCAACGTGGTGCTCCTGCTCAAATCCCTGGGGGTGCAGGACCTGCTGCAGTTCCACTTCATGGACCCGCCCCCAGAGGACAACATGCTCAACTCCATGTATCAGCTCTGGATCCTCGGGGCCCTGGACAACACAGGTGCTGCGGGCCTGGGAGCCGGGCAGGGCCTCGTGGGCTCTGGCGCCTGGGTTCTCCCTCTTACCACGCCGTATCTGTTGACCGTCTGGGTTTGTTCCTCTCTTCCAGGTGGCCTGACCTCGACTGGGCGTCTGATGGTGGAGTTTCCGCTGGACCCAGCCCTGTCCAAGATGCTCATTGTGTCCTGTGACATGGGCTGCAGCTCCGAGATCCTGCTCATTGTCTCCATGCTCTCGGTCCCAGCCATCTTCTACCGGCCCAAGGTGGGAGACGCTGTCCAGCTCCTCTCTTCCCAGAGGCCTGGGAGGGAAATGGGCTCCAGAAAGGTCGAGAGAGGGGAGTAGACCCTCTCTGTGTATTATTAGGATGGAATGGAGGAGCAGGAATCAAAGTTTTCAAAGAGTGATTTTGCTGTTTCATGTTAAGCAGGTTGGGGTAGGGGAAGGGGTGGGCTAGCTCTGTGGTTCTCAGGGAGTGTTCTGGAAATTTGCAAGAGCATTTTTTTTCTAGTATGGTTGTGCCTGAGTCCTCATGTTGCAGAATAAATATTTTTGTTATACATGAGTTTATTTTCCTTATATCGTCAAGGCACTGTATTGATGTGTTTTGGGTTGCGTGTGTGGGTAGGTGATAGTGTGAGAACCTCCAGGCTCTTCTCAGTGGGCCTGGATTTCCGTGTGCTTAGAGTAAAGGTCCTTTTACCTTCCTAGGGCCGAGAGGAGGAGAGTGATCAAATCCGGGAGAAGTTTGCAGTCCCTGAGAGTGACCATCTGACCTACCTGAATGTCTACCTTCAGTGGAAGAACAATAATTACTCTACCATCTGGTGTAACGATCATTTCATTCATGCCAAGGCCATGCGGAAGGTGGGGGCAGTGGCCCAGAGAAGCAGGATGTTGGTAAGAGGGGTGGGAGGCAGGGGAAGAAGGGCTCCCTTCTTGCCTGCTTGTGTCCTGCTCTAGGTCCGGGAGGTGCGGGCTCAGCTCAAGGACATCATGGTGCAGCAGCGGATGAGCCTGGCCTCGTGTGGCACCGACTGGGACATTGTCAGGAAGTGTATCTGTGCTGCCTATTTCCACCAGGCAGCCAAGCTCAAGGTGAGCCCAGAGGAGCGTGGAGGAACTATGGCCTCTTCCTGGCCTGACACTTTGTACGAGGGCAGGTTTCTTCCTTTCTCATTGTACAGTCCTACAGATCTGGGCTTCCCCCTCAAAGCCTGTGTCAAGACAGTGTTGAGGGGTCGGGTAGCTGCCCAGATGCACAATGTTTTGCTGCTGTGGCTACCTGTTTGGTCTCTTCCCTAGGGAATCGGGGAGTATGTGAATATCCGGACAGGCATGCCCTGCCACCTGCACCCCACCAGCTCCCTCTTTGGAATGGGCTACACCCCAGACTACATAGTCTATCACGAGTTGGTCATGACCACCAAGGTGAGTCTTTTCCAAGGGAGCTTGCACAACATAGGCCCGCCTGGCTGGGCCAGGCCTTCGTGACCCTTCGCTGCCTTCTGGGATGGGCTTTGAGCTTGGGAGGCTTGAGGCCACATGCGTTGCTTTGAGGGGAGTTGAGCTTGGTTCTCAGTTGGCGGTTTGGGGAAGGTTGTACAGAGTCAACCTCTGGATTACAGCGGCCTCGGCGGTGACAGCAGGATTGTGTCCTGCTTGCTGCCTGGGACAAGCAGCTCCTTTTGGTGGCGGTAGAAGGGTTTTATAAGGGGCTGGGTCTTCTCTCTTGGACACTAGGGGGCTTTTTCTGAAGCATGGAGGAACTTGGATGGGAGAAGAGATTAGAATTCCAGTTTCTGGGGCTCTCCTTGCCTTTTTAGCCTCCCAGGGCTGGGGGTAGGGCCCTTCCCACACAGCTCCTATTTGGGGAATGGCTCTGGGAGGGACAGCTCAAAGCACTGGTCCTGTGACCACTGCTCTGTGGCCCTTCTGCCTGCAGGAGTACATGCAGTGTGTGACTGCTGTGGATGGAGAGTGGCTGGCAGAGCTGGGCCCCATGTTCTACAGCGTGAAACAGGCAGGAAAGTCTCGGCAGGTAAGGATCCTGCACTTCTCCGTGGAGGGCCTGTTTGCCTCTGGGATCCATTTCCTTGTCAGCCTGGTATTAAGGACACATCATCATCTGACTCCCCCTCATTTCTCTCTCAATCATAAAGGCTGTGATCCTGGCAGGCTGGTCTGTGTGATTTCCCCCCATCCACTCCAGTTATTTGATCTGTATCTTAAAAAGAAAATTGTGGAAAAATCCAGATATTCATAGAAGTAGAAAAAGAATATAATGAGCCATAAATTCCTCAGCTAGCCTCCATAATTACCTACATTCTATCAGTCTTGTTTCTCTCATTCCCACCCTCCTCCATACACATCAGGGTTTTTTTGGAATATTTTTAAGCATATCTCAGACATTGTGTTTTTTCACCCATAAATTCTTAAAAACGTGTCTTTAAAATGACTTTAAAAAAATAAAATGTAACTTCCATGCTGATACCACTCAATGGAATTAATCCTTAAAGTTGCTTGAGTCTCTAGTCCGTATTCAGATTTCCCTTTTTAGCTCAAAGATAATTTTTTATAATTGATTTGCTTGAATTAGGATCTGGACATTGAAATTTCTCATTGTATATATTAAGTCTTCTCTTCTAGAACAAGCTCTGCCCCTACTCTTTTTTTATGGCTTTTATTAATTGAAGAAAGCAGCTCATTTATCTTGTAGAATGTTCCATGTTCTGTTTTGGGGCTGACTGCTTCCTCAAGGTGTTGTTTAACTTGTGCCACTATCCCGTGTATTTTCTGTAAGCTAGTAATTAATATACAGTCTTGGTTAGATTCAGGTTCAGCTGTTTTGGGTAAGGGTGCATGAGTGCTGTGAACTTCCTTTTAGATCCTGTCAGGAGGCACATAAAGTCTGGTGGTTCCACTTTTGATGACTCTAAGATTGCTCAGTGGTTCCCCCTGACCCCTCCATTACCAGTTCTCTCCCAACTCCTCGGTCTCCTGATGCTCTTGGTGTCCATTGGGGGCCATTGCCTGGATTCATTGTGTAGGTTGCAGACTGTTGCTTCCCCCTCTTCTCAGCATAGTCCTCCCTGCACTGGGCCTGCACACGCCTTCCTATGTCCGTTCTCTCCAGCCGCAAGTCATGTCTTCCCTATTTCCTATACTTCCTGGCACGGTTGTGAACTTGCTAAGAGCATATAAGCACTTACTGAATTGAGTGGAGGGCTGAAGGATGGCAGGGTTAGGACTGAGTTGTCCAATATTCATCCTGAGTCAGTGAGAAAAACAGGCCTCGGCCCTGGTGCTGGGGCAGGGAGCTGCATGTCCCTGCCTCTGGGAGCTGGTGCAGTCTATACAGCACCTGGCTTGCAGCAGGGAGATGGGTGCAGATCCAGGCTCCTCACTCGCTGGTCCCCAGTGACCCTGGTACCTCTCTGTTTTCTAGGAGAACCGCCGACGGGCCAAAGAGGAAGCATCTGCCATGGAGGAGGAGATGGCTCTGGCCGAGGAGCAGCTGCGGGCCCGGCGGCAGGAGCAGGAAAAGCGCAGCCCCCTGGGCAGTGTCAGGTGAGCTGGGGCCTTGGGACTCTGGCTGGGATGGAGCCCACCTGCTGGATGGACCAGGCTCTGAGGCAGGGTCATGATTTAAGAGAAGTTAAATGTGCAGAGGTGAATTGGTGACTGGTCGACTGGTTGCATGTGGAGATGGGAGGACTTCCGGACACACTTTCAAGGGTCAGTGATAACAGCTGCAACTCCTGGTCACTGTCTGTACAGGAGGTGGGCTAGAGCAGCAGAATAGGTCCCACAGCTTTCTCGACAGGCTAGGGCTTGGAAACCAAAGTGGAGTGGTACAGAGAGCCTTGGGCTCCTGCGTCTGTGCTGGTGCCTGGAGTTAGGTCAGACTGCACAGGTGAAGGGCACAGCCCTCTGTAAGACTGCCTTCACCCCAGTCACCACCTGCAAGTTGGGTACCCAAGGTCACCCTAACTTCTGACCAACTCATTACATGGGTTCCCATGGGCTTTCTCAGTTTTGATGATTTGCTAGAATACCCCGCAGAACTCAGGAAAGTACTATACTTAGGATTGCAGCTTTTTTTTTTTTTTTTAAATAGCAAAAGGACACAATCAGAATCAGCCAAATGGAGAGATGCATAAAGTGAGGTCTGGGAGGGTCCCATATGTGGAGCTTCCTTTGTCCTCAGGGCCACATTACCCTCCTGGCACATTGATGTGTGACAGTACACAGAATATTGCCACCAGGGAAGCTCACTTGAGCTTTGGTGCCCAGAGTTTTACTGGGGTTTCATTTCATAGGCATGTGGATTGAATCAGCACCCCTGTGTTGACTTAGTCTCCAGCTGCTTTTCCCTCTCCAGAGGCTGGGCCGATAGCACAAGGCTCGAAGCACAGCCCTCTAGTCACATGGTTGGTTTTTCTGGCCTGGGCAGCCACCATCCTGATTCAATCTCATTTGCATTAACTATCAGATGTGGTTTGAGGGGCCCACCATGAATAACTGAGACACTCTAGTCCCTTGGGAAATTCCAAGGGTTTAGAGATTACCTCCAGGAATTGGGGACAAAGGCCAGCCAGTGTCTTTATTACACAGCTGGAGTGGTGCCCTGGTGAGATGGATGGAAGGCTACCTCCATAGCTCACCTAGGAGATATGAAAAGAGGTTTTTAAAAAAGAGTCCATCTTATGACATGCCTTAGTGGATATCAGAAAGAGGTGATACCTTATTCTGCTCTAATCACAAATGGGGAAGGCAAGGGGGTGGAGGTGTGCTGGGGGAGAAGACCCTTCAGCCCCAGAGTCTGCTCACACAAAGTTAGAAACAGCAAGGCCTCAGGCTCCTCGTCCTACTGTGTATCCTGGTTGGAGTGAGTAGCAGTGTGATTCCTAACTCCTCTTCTGTGTTTCCAGGTCCACAAAGATCTACACTCCAGGTCGGAAAGAGCAAGGGGAACCCATGACCCCTCGCCGCACACCAGCCCGCTTTGGGCTCTGAGCTGAGGCTGTCCCTGCAGAGGTGGGGAGCCAGGTGTTGAGTCCCGAGCCGCGTGGCTGGAGCGCCCAGGCCTGCCAACAGAACCCTTCTGTCTGTGTGCTCTTATCTGTGTACATCATGGCTCTGGGCAACCTGCTGAGGCCAGGCTCTGCCACAGAGGAAGGAGGAGTTCCTTGGTGCAGGTGTCAGGCCGCAGAGCGGCTGTCAGGACCACGAGAGGTGGCCGGACCCACCGCATCCAAATAAACTCCCTGGGACACTTGGTGTATAAATGACACAGCCATGACTGTCTTTTAAAATTCTTGTGTAAAGCAGCACGATAGACCTAGACCTGTAATTTGGTTATAATTCGGGATTTGGAAATAAATTTATTGTTTGTAAAATGTTATTGCATTTCTGACTGTTCCCTTCCCCTCACTGCCCTAAATCACACAGTAGAGGACAGGCAGAACCTGGCCTGACTTTCCTCGGATGGATCCTCTTAGAACCTTAGCTTGCCCTTATTTCTGTTCTCCAGGAGGCAGTGCCTCTTAGAGGAGAGGTTGGCAGGTGGGACCCAGCTGACAGGAAAGGAGAATGGCCTGGGGCAGCCGCACAGGGAGCGGGGTGGTGGGGGTGAGGGGGCACGCTCTGAGGGCAAGGCTGGACGCGGGGGCCGAGAAATAGGAGGAAGGTGAGCAGCCGCCCACCCGCTGCCTCGGTGGGTTGGCTGATCTATTGCTCAGAATAGCAGAAGTTTCTACCATTATGTATTGTGTATTGATAGAAAATAGTGTAAAGTGTTGCTTACTGGTTTTCACATAAAGGATGATCTTTAAACTGGAATTCTTAGTCTTTTCTCTTGTTAAGCAGCCTCTACAGTCTGCTGACGACTTTTTTGGTATTTGACCCTCTGTGTCACCCCTGGTCCTTATTTTGTGACTCCCTAGGGCTGGGGTCCTGCCAGGTGTACTGCTGGGAGGTCCTGTGTTGGGGCTGAGTCCCCGACAAGGCTTGGGGCTCAGAAGCACCTGGATACTGGGCCAGCGCCCAGTGTGAACCCCAAGGTCCCTGGCTCACGCTCCTATTAGCTCTCCTCTGCTTCTCACTCTGTTCCTGGGATTTGAATTTCTGTTTGTTATAAATCAATATAAGTTAAAATTTAAGTCAATTTTATGGAAGGGTTTGCAAGCAAGGCTTTGCCAGCCAGCACCAGCTACCACCTCTACTTTCATTCTTTTTACCTCTAATCGCCTTTATTGGGAATGCAGGTAGAAAGTGACTTCACGGCTCTGGAGTGAAGAGAGGGCTTCCGGCTGCTTGCCTGCGAAGGCTTCTGATTTCAGCCCTGGGTAGAAGGACTAGGAGAAGGTGTCTACCTGTCCTGTGGAGAGATGTAAGCTGGGTATGTGATCTATTTTACAGACTTGCGCTCAGGATGCAACAGAACAGGAAGAAGACTGAAGTTCCAATTAATGGCTTTATTACTAACAGGCTGTGACCTTGGTCACAAACTCACCTTCAAGTCCCCTAGATAAGAATGAGGCCAGAGGGTTATAAAAATCTAGTTTCAAAATAAAGAACACCTGGTGAGGCACATGCAGCACACACAGGTGCCGCAAGCTGAGTGGGAGGCTCCCCACCCCTGGCGGCTCTACCCAAATCAGTTTTGGCTGTCAGACTTCTGCCCAATAGTCTGTCGGCCCTTCTGTCTCCAGTGCTTTCTTTTTAACTGTGGACCCTTTCCATTCAGATCGACCTTCACATTGCTGCCAGTTTGAATACTCTGATTTAATACTCTGATTCTCACCACCTCATCAGATGATAACTGATTCTTTTTCTAGAAGTTCAAAAGCTTTTCTTGACAACGGCCCAGAAGTGAATTCCTGAGACTGGCTCCCAGCCTTGGTGTGAAGCAATAGTAAGGCTGTTGAACTAGGCGTCTTTACAGGGCTCCCCTGCCTTGCCCTCAGCCATGTGCAGCTACTTTCAATGCCAAGTGGAGAGAAACAGGGTACTTCAGACACCTTAGAAATGTCACAGCTGAGGGCCCCTGGCTGCCTAGAGGAGGCTCAAAAGCCAAGTGTATGTGGCAACATGGTGGTTGTGGGGAGCCCCCTTCCCTTTAGTAAGGAGGTGGCTGACGTTTTCTCTGGGTTCCTTGAGCTCAGGGGGAGAAGAATTAGACTCCAGATGGGTAGAAGAGGATCTGCTATAAAGGATTCTGTGGGCCCCAAGTGTCAGAATCTGAGTGATCTCCTCTGACTGGGTGGCAGAAGCATTTTATTTATAATCCCCTTGGCTAAGTCCTAGCTGTATAATCATTTTTTTTCTTCTTTTTTATTTTTTAGTGTGGCTTTAGGTGAACAGCAAAGTTAAGCAGGAGGTACAGAGATTTCCCATATACCTCCTGCCCTCACCCCTAACATGCACAGCCTCCCCTACTGTCATCATCCCCCACCAGAGTGGTTCATTTGATACAACTGATGAACCTATACTGACAAATCATTATCTCCCAAAGTCCATAGTTTACATTAGGGGTCACCCTTGGTGGTGTACATTCTATGGGTTTGGACAAATGTAGCCACCATTATAGTTTCATACAAAGACCATTATTTTTTAATGTCAAACTTTTAGGAGTTCACTTCTTTGGTTATTTCTTAAAGAACCAGAGGCAGGCAACATTCAGCCTCCCCGCCCTATCTCCTGTCTATCTACACTTCTCTAAGTCCAACCCCTCCACTCAGCTGGGTCCCTGCCTGGCTGGGCTGGCAAGGCCAGATGGCTACGTGACATATCTGTGGTTCTGGCTCTGCTGCCCCACTGCTCCCCACAATTGGCTCGCTGCTTTGCTCTGTTGTCGTCAGCCACAGGAAACGAAAGACAACTTTGAAAAAAGTGGACAACATTCAAAGTACCCAGATATTGTCACTTTGGCCAACATATATGAAATCTTTTTATAAATTATAGACAAAATGCCTTTTTAGCACACTGGGAACTAAAGTACTGGGGACTTTAATGACATTGAACTTTTGCTTGAATAAATAGGCCACAGGCTAGAACTAGAAGCCATTTCATTTGTATCAGATTCTTCAGTCTTTGTTTTCTCTAGAAAACATATCCTTATTCTACACCAATCAAAGGAACAGTCAAAAGAGCATAAAAAACACAACAACCATCACAGCAGAAACCACCAGAAATGCCCATCACTCCTGCCTCACACTGCATTTCTAGAAGTTGCCCTTCCCAAGTCCTAGCAGGGGCACCCTATGTAACATGTTGCTATTAGCAGCATATTTTCTTGGCTTTTGTTTGGCTGGGGAGGGAGACAAGATATTTAAGAATTGTTACCAACTAGTGGGTTTCTTCCTTCACTTTTCCTTTCCCTTCACCTAGAAATACAAACTCTTTCATTCCTTTCTCTTACTTTGACTATTTCTCTCAATTTCCTATAGACTCAAAATATAAATTCCAGACATGTACTCAGTTTAACAAAATCCAACCACAATAAAATAGTTTAGCTGTCCTTGGAGTTTGTTATAATGGAATTTTACTTGTATTGAGCTGGCTGGGGAGAAAAATAAAATTGTTAAAAGGAGGAATGGAATATGGAGGCCAGGGAGAAAGCAGATGGCTCTCGCCCCCTCCTCCATTTGGAAAATGCATCACTTATTTCTCTTCCTTTCTTTTGAACCTCAGGGCTACTTTTCTTTTTGAGGTTTTTAGATTTTTTTTCTTTTAAAATTCCAGAGATGGAAAGAATAAAAAGGGAGCTAATTGTCTCTTATTGGTTTAAAGACTAATCCAGAAGCTTGCTTTGGGAATGGGAGCTCCCCTCTGTACATGAACGAGAACTCTAGCTTTTAGAACCTGGAGAAAACAGGGATGAACGCATGGCTGGGGACTTGCTGGGGACTTGCTGGGGGCAGAAGTGTCTGCAGGACGCCAAGAGCTCACTGACACTGCTGTGCTCATGTCTTTATTTCAGAGTTTGAGCCTGGAGATGATAGTGTGGTTTCAAGGCTTACTCCATTGCATGAAGTGGACAAAACTCAATAAATGTTAGCATCTTGCAGAGTAGGCTGGGACCTTGACACTTTCCTATAAAAGCTGATCCAAGTCTAGAGAGAGGAATGGGGACTCACTGTTCTCTGAAAAGTGTGCGTGGAAATGATGCTCAAGGCAAGGTGCTGATTTTAACAAAATGAGGAACCTGAGGGAACAGGGAGGAAATGATAATCTTGATTGGAGGAGAAATTAATGAGGTGATTCCTCAGGGACTAGCCTCATAGCCAGGCAGCTCTGATGCAGGTGACTTCTTCCCTCGGGGATAATGTGGTGTCCTACTATAGGTAGCAGAAAAGGTAGCCGCGGACCCAGGCTGTGCATGGGACCAGGGCGTTCTTGTGAGGTTTCCAGAACACATTACAGGAGGAAGATGCCTGTTCTGCCGGTTCCCCACTTGTCCCCATACTTCCCCAGAGGGACTGGGTCAGGGGAAGGGGTAAGTCTGAGATAGGAGGCTTCTGGGTATCATCAAAGATTCTTAGATCAGAATGAGCCTTAATTCACTCGCCTCCTCCCTTTACAGAGAAGACAATGATCTCTAGTTCAGAGTAGCTAAGCAAAAGATCTGTTTTCTTTTCTCTATTTGAATTTCCAATCCAGTGATTTCTTAAAAAACAATATCATGTCAATTTTTTTTGACCCACTGGACCAAGAAAGACATCACAGTAATAAGCAAAAGCCACATGGTGGACATACCTGAGCAGTGGGGTACCCCAAAAAACTTGGTGATGTCCATTCTTTGGCTCACATCCTGGGTTATCCCCCTCCAGCCCAAGGTGCCATACACTTTCCCCCTTGACGTGGAGTCTGTTTTGCTCGGGCACAGAGCTTTGGTGTGCACTCTTGAGGACCCGGCTTTCAGCTTCTTCTCCTCTATTTCATTCTTCAGTTTCTTGTTCTCCTGCTGCAGGTGGACCATTACATTGTGGAGGTGGCTGGGGAAGGAGAGGGGAGGACAGGTGGGTGTTTGGTCTGCTTCATCTCCGTGGACGCCCAGTTCCTTCCAGAGCTGGTGCTCTCACACAGGTTCTGTGGAAATGGAGGCCTGCCTGCGTACCCTGGAAGGAGCCCCGGCCTGGGGTTGGGGTGGACTCACAACCAGTACTCCTGACCCACTGTGTCCTGCCAGCTATGGGCCAGTTTTCTTATTTCTTAGATGGGGACAATTGAGTCTGACCCACCTTCTGGGGTTCATATAAAAATCCATTTGACAAATGATAGAAATTTGAAGAGTCAGAAGAGCCAGAACAATTCTTATCATGTGTCCTTGGTTCTAACAGTCATGCTTTGGAAACACTCACACCCAGTTCTGAGGCCGAAGCCCAAGTTCTTTCTCCTCCCTCTGCTGAAAGGTTGAGAGCACAGGGGATCCCAGCTCTGCTGAGAGCTTGGCCAAGTTATCTGTCCCAATTTTATGGATGAGGAAATGGTAGCTCCGATGTAGGTGAGGGGAGAGGTAACTGAACATATCTCTTTTGGCTCAGTAAATGGCAACTGTTAATACCAACAGTCTTACTTCTCAAAAACCATGTTGAGGGCAGTGAGTGACAGTGGGTTCTGGAACCAGGCTTCCCAAGTTGGAATTCTGACTCTGTCGCTTACTGGTCATGAGACCATGGGCAAGTTATGTAGCCCTAGTTCCTCTCTTTCTTCTACCATAAATGGGGGATGATAATTGCACTGACCGTGTGAGATCTTATGGAAGTTAAATAAGTAAATACATGTAAAGGACTGCAAACAGTGCCTCACCTAGGTAAGCAATAAATATTACTTGAGCTCTTGTTATTAGGATTAAAAGATGGCGCTCCTTCAAACAGGATCAAGCAAACTCAAGAATGAGTTCTCTGTGAAACAACTTTCTGGAACTTGGCACAATATCAGAAAAAGCATGAAGTGCTCTGTTACCTGCAGATTCCGACCATTTAGTTAAATTCTCTCTGAAAATGTATTTGTCCTAGTGAAATATTTTATGGTCTTTTCTAGAGGAAAGCAAATACAGAATTCACCCTCAACGTCTTCTCCGGGTATATGCCTTGCCCTCTTACTCTGTATAAACCTGGCTGGTGGAAAAGACATTCCTTCCCTTGTTGGCCCTCATGTCGTGGCCACACTCCTTGTGCCACTGGGCCTGGAGGTGGGTCCTCACGTGCCCTCACTCCTGGCTCTCTGCCACTCTCTCTGGCCCACTCCTGCCAACATCCATGATGCTTTCAACATCCTGTACTTTTTATCCAAGTCCTGGCCTCTTGGTTCCTTGACCACCTAATTCCAAAGGTCTTGTCCTCTCTTTCAAGCCAGCCTCCCTCTGAAGGTCCAGGCTCAGGACACAGCTTTATAACTGTGGCTTCACGAATGGGTCCCGGGTGTGCTGATACCTCAGCCCTTGGAGCAGGGTAGGGGGTTTGGGGGCAGCTGCTGGTCGATCAAATCTGTCACCAGGAACCCCATCCCAGACCCTCCCAGTGTGCCAACCAAAGGTGGTCATTTTCTAAGGGTTCCCGACAAAAGGCTGGGAAACACAGCCCTGGAGCTTGTCATGACCTGTTACTATACCACCTCTGAAATCTCAGTTTTAGACATCTGTACCTTTGCCTCTGTTCCTGAACTGCCAACATTCCTCCCGTACCATCCTCTATGCTGACCCGGCTTTGACGGTGAGGGTGAATCAAGGCCACACGTAGAAGGAATCTAGGCCCCCCAATGACCACATGGGACAGAAGGACCCCACCTACCTGGACTGCTCACCTCAAAGAGATGTTCCTTCTGTGTTCAGTGTCCCTCCACTTGGAGAGGTCTCTGTTACTGCAGCTTAGCCACTACCCTAACACAGTCTGCTTTTCAGGGCCTGTTTCCTTCTCAGCATTTTTGACCTCTGAGAATTGTACAAGGTGACAGTAGGGAGGTGCATAGAGATGGCTCCCTTTATTTTTGTTGGTGAGGAAACTAAGGCCTAAAGAGGTAAAGTGGTGACCCCAAGGTCACATAGATACAGATCCAGGACTCGGGGGTCTTTCTCCACATATTCAATGAAAAGGCCAGTCCTGGCTACTGGCTGACCCCTCTCCTTGGGGCCCAAGCTACAGCCAGGGTGGTATGGGATGACTTACTCCTTTTCACCAGTCAGCTTGGCAATATATTTGACCTGTTCACGTAGCTTGTTTCCTAGTTTCTCATTGGCGATCCTATAATAAAATTAACAAGAGAAGAGTTCCCCAGGCCCCTGTGAGCAAGAGCATGAGTTGGCTGAACAGGTCACTGGGTGTTCTCAGCAAGGCCTCTGCTGGGCCCAGACCCCCTGCTCACCACCAAGTCCCCAGAGCTAGAGCCTTCCTGGCACCTGGAAATTAAGAGGCCTCTCCATACCCCTGTGCAAAATCACTGTGATCCCAGGTGTGTTCAAGGGATCCAGGCAGTGAAGCTGGACGCGAGGTGGGGAAGAGGAATTCTGACCCACAGAAGCAGTCCTTCTATCAGGCAGCTGCTCCACTTCTAAAGGGCCGGGGCTTTCTGAACCTGCCTGAAGGGTGAGGCCCCTCCACCTTACTCCCAACCCTTGGGTGTGGGCTGAGACTAGATCAGTTTCCCGAGAGGGCAGTGTGTGTGTGTGTGTTTGTGTGTGTGTGTGTGACACTGTTCTTTGGGACATGTGTGATTCGTCAGCTAAGCCCAGCCCTTGCGGCCCTGCCTCACTGTTTCCTTCCTTACTTACTTCTGCTCTTTTGCCCACTGCTCCATGTTGCACATAATCTGATCATTCTCTCGGTGTAGCCTACAGTTGTCTTTGGGCACAGACCGCTGGGGCAGGCAACAGGGCTTTGGTACAAGAAGTAAATGAGACAGTAAGAGGTGGGAGCACAGACCCATCACCTCCCTGCTCCCAAATCAGGCCTCTTCTCTCTTCCTGCAAGAAGAAACATTGACTCTGCGGTCCAACCCCAAGGCCAGCATTGGAATTGCCATAGCAGGACTCCATCTCCAGCAATGCAGTGCCACAATGGTGACATCTCTGAGCAGACACCATTTGTAGTAGAGTCAAGGTAGATTTGTACACTTATAATAATGATTTTCAGGCCAGAAGTATTAAAGTGACTTGTTCTAAAAAAGCAGTATGTTAAGCCATTTTTTTTTTAACAGGTGGAAGCAAAAATATCTGGTAGAAGGGATGATTTTTTTTTCTAATTCAGGCAAGGGCCCTGCAGCTACCCCAAGATATTCTGCAGTCTCCTGCCACAAACTTCACTGCTCAGAGAGCTGGCATGCCCAAAGAGCTCTTAGCCATTCTACTGCAGGGTAACTGAAAGTGCCAGGAGGGGCTCTGGAGGGAGACTTGACCAGTGGATTGTCTAAGTCAGGGGCTGCTGGTGTACCTGACCAGGACATGGCCCTCTATCTCCTCTGGAATGAAACCTTTGTTCTGCTCAGTATCTCTATTAACAAAGTCACAGGAAGATGGCTGGATTGAGATAGCCGCTGTGGGCCTGGACCACCCAGACCCTGCTTTGTACTGAATAGAAAGGGTGCCTTTTCCTTGCTCCCAGGCACTCCCACCCCCATCCGAAGGCTGTCTCTCATCCAGGTGGTTGGTTGTGGGATGTGCTGGGGTAGGGGATGGCTGGGAGGAAGTGACCAGAAGCTGAGGAGCACCTACCTCCTTCTCATCCGCAAGGAGGTTCTCTTTCAAGGCACACATTTCCTCCTGGAACGCCCTGAGCTGCTCCTCTTTAGCGGCTAGCATCTTGAGGTCGCTCTGGTGCTGCTTCTGCCACTGCAATACCTGGTTGCTCATATCCTCCAGCTTCTTGTCGAAGGCCTGCACCTGCTCGGGAGCACACAGTGAGGAGGGAGACCCCAGCTTGCCTCCCTGGCCCCGGAGGACACAAGACACGGCCAGAGGGTGCTTTCTCGCCTCTGGGAGATTCGTTAGGCGGTATTTTATTTCCAGTGGTCAGCAGAGGGCGCCCCTGCCCTGATCATTGCCACCTCCATCTGAAGCTCACGGAGCCCAGCAAGAGGGAAGGAACCCGTAAGCCAAAGGGAATGGCTCTGTACCAAGTCCATAGTTCTGGGTGCAAGAGACCTTGGGGCCCTGAACAGGACAGCAGCCCAAACCTCGGGCTGCTCCTCACCTCTAGCTCACTCTGCTGCTGGAAGCCCTGCAGTTTTTTTAATTCCATGTTGAGCTTTTTCATCCTCTCCTCATAAGCAATGATTTCCTCTTCCAGCTGCATTTTCCTGTCTTGAGCCTGTGCCAAGCTTCGGTGCAGACTCTTTGTCTCTGAGGTCGCATGATTGAGCTTTAGTAAAGACAAAGGGGGCAAGAGTGGCTGTAGGGCGCTTGGGCCCTCTCTGCTAAGTCCTGAAAGGAGAACATTTCCAGTCCCACGTCTCCAGCCTCCCCTCTCCCTGCCCAGGGTGGCACAGACACCTGGTCACCTTGTCTAGCGTCTAGGAGAGGGGCAAGAAGTGACAATGGTCAGTTTTCTGCATTTCCCCTTCCCCTCTTCCATTTCTTCTCTTTCCAGTTCTATAAACTGATCAGCCACAAGATCAGCACACGGATGGGGCATGAATTTCCCTGATAATCCAAGTCTTGGGAAAACCTTGCCCCTGGGTCACCCATGGACAGAGAGACTTGCTAGATTTGACCTCTATCCCCTCCCCAGAAAAGCCTCACTAAGGGGAAGCAGGCCTTCTCTGGACAGACATCCCAGCCCATGCAAGGGTTTGCAGGTGGCCTTGGTGCCAGCCAGTCATGCAGGAAGTGACTCTTGCACCTCTCATGCTACTGGGATCACTTGGACATTAAACAGCCCTGGAGATGAAGGGGTGGAGCCCACCTTCTCCAGGGCTTGCGTTAGGTCATCTTGGCAGGCGGCGGACTTCCGGGATAACTCCTCATAGACGTCTTTACTGACCATGGTCTGGTAGCATTGCTTCTCTTTCTGCACAGCCTTGTCCAGCTGACTCTGCAGACTCTCTAAGGTCTCCTTCTGAGAAGCTATCTTTAGGGAGAGGGAACATCACTGTCACGGTTCATGGCCATAGAGGCATTCTCTGTGTCCACAGAAGATGGACAAGCACTGAGCTCTCATCTCTCTGCACTAATCTGCCAAGCAGTCTGTGATAACACCCACTTCATTTCCCTGTTGTGAGAGGATGAGCTGCCGTTTCAGGCTGTTCTGCATCCCTCTCCCCACACTTCCTTTCTAGTTAGCATGTGCCCCCAGTACGAGTACTGGAAGTACTGGGCCACGATGTGTCAAGTACACGAAAAAGCCTTTCACAGACCCTGCAGCCTTTGATGCATGCCAGCCGAGCATGCGTCCTGCATTTGTAACTAGAAGGTTTCTGTTAATAGTTTATTGTTTTATGGTCAGGGTTAGGATTGGGGTTAACCTGGAATCCAATTCTATGTTAGGAGACATGATACAATATTTCAATTGTATGCATTATGCCTCAGTTTCTGACATAATTCACTAGACTTGATGCACCAGGAAAACAGGACCGTGTGTGCTTTCTTCATCGCTATAGGCCCACTCTCTGTAGCTCAGGGCATGGCGCATAATAGGTGCTCAGCCAATATACTAAATGATTTGTTTGGATTGAATGAAATATTGCACTGGGCAATATTAGAGATGAATGGAACATATAGTTCTGGCAGTAGTGTGTCTAAAATTGAAATACAGAATATGGATAAAAGAATATGCATTTTTGAGCGCAGAACTAAGCCTCTTTCTAATGGCTATTTCCATTGATTCAAAAAGTCTATTATATGCAGGGCATGTTTTAAAAAAGTTGAACATGCTTACACACACACAAACTCCTCCAGCCTCCTGATTCCCATCAAAGGAATTCTGATGACTTTTCTTTTGGCAAACTGATAACAGGCCTATATTAATAACTTAGAGCAGTTCCTTGGGGATTGAGTAATTCAGACCTCAACTCTGGATCATACTAAAGGAGAGATTTATATCTTTGGGGGACAAAACTCTGAAACATCAGTGCCTCTGACCTCTGTTGTTTAATATGGCAGCTACTAGCCACATGAGACAATTAATATTTAAATAAAACTAAAATTAGTTAATATAAAAATTATAAATTCAGTTCCTCAGCCATACTAAGCCATATTTCAAGCACTCAATAGCCACGTGTGGCTAATGCATATAGTATTAGGCAGCTAATTTAGAATTTTTTCATCATTGCAGAAAGTTCTGTTGGGTAGTGCTATTCTTATATTAGAATAGTCATAGTATTTTAAGATGATCTTTTTTTTTATTATGAAGGAATAAGAGCTGCTTGGTCTCTCATTTATAATTCAAGGGACCACCTATCAAGATGCTGTATTTGTTTCTTGCCCAGAACAATGGAATGGATTCAGCTGGGGAAAGTATTCCCATTTATGATGAAGGGAAAAGAGGTTAGATGTGAGGGCCAGATGATCCAGGTTCAACTCCCACTCCATCCTATCACTTACTGATGAGTTACTCTCAGCCTCAGCCTTTCTTTCCTTTGTAAACTGAGGCTCATAGTATCTTATTGGGAGTAAAATAGATGGAAGGCATGCAAAGGACTTAAGTAGATGGTCAGTAAATTATGCCTGAATTTGAGCACATATACTTCTTTCTGTTGTCTTTACTTGTGTAATGAAAAATAACCGCATCCCCTTCCATCCCATTTTTGTGCTTTGGGACTACTTTTGGAAGTGTTCCCTAGCAAATTTCCCCAAACAATGGGCTCACTCAACTCTGGTCTAAAATGCAACTCTGGAAGACTTGATGCCAAAGCCCAGACGGTTTGTGGCTCCACCAGATACTAAATAAGACCTTTCACATGTGGAAGAAATATTTCTTAGCCAGCAAGTGGGTGCTGAAAGCGTATCCCACTTCAGGAGGGAAGTGGAGCCTCGGGCGCCCTGGATGCACATGGGCTGGGCAGTTAGTTGCATTTCTGTGGGGAAGGAGAACTAGGTGCCAGTTTCAGGTCGTGGGTCACAGGGTTCAAACTTCTCACCTCACTGGGGTTTCTGTCTACTTACCTTATTATTTAGCTCTTGGTTGATTTGCTGGGTGGTGGTTTGTTTGCTGAGAGCGGAATCCAGGTGTGTAGAACGTTGATGTAACTGTGATTTGAGATTCTCATTTTCCTCCTCCAGCTTTCTCAGATTCTCCTTTGACTGCTCCCCCATTAAGGAATAAAGCCCAGAGTGGAGGTGTGAGCTCAGGCTCCAGCCGGAGCCCCTCCTCCCACCCTCACGCACAGCTGCATTCTGCACCCTGTGTATCTCAGGCCTTCTCTCTCCTCCTCACTTGCCTTCCTCACCTTCCTTCCCTTCTCCCCTGAGGTCTGAGCACCCACGGCTTCTGGCCTCCATATCCCTCCAGGGCCGGCAGGGCTCTTGTCTGGCCCTGGATTCATGACCCTGAGTCTTTCCAGATTTTCCTCACCATCTTTTCTTTCTTTTTTTCTTCCTGTCGAAATGTCTCAAGCTCTTGCTCCAGTAAAACCTCCTGTTCTTTGCTCTTTTTCAGCTGCTCCCGTTTCTCCTCCAGCAACCTGGTTATCTCCTGAAGCTGTTCTTCTAGATTGATTTTGGAGGCAGCTTGTTCCCTGTTCTGAGAAAATAAACACTGGGCTGAAAGACAGTCTTAGACACTATATTTTTTGGGAAAAAAAAACCCAAACCCAAAACCAAACCAGACAACTGTGCACAGGGAATGGCTGAAATAAATATGAGGACAATGCCTTGATTATTTAGCATATATCACAAAAAGTTTCCTGTTATGTTCAGTAACATTTTTTCTTTGTTCAATTAGATACAGCAATTTATTTTATATCCAGTTCCCACTTATTCACCAAATCTTTCCATACAAAAACCTCTCTGAATAGGGAGAGGGTATAGCTCAGTGGTAGAA